GGGCTACAGCAAATTTTGGGGTGGCTGCAGCCCCCCCCCACCCATAACTCTCCACCCAGCACTGCTGCCACCTGCCCCGAGTGCAGCCCGGTGCAGCCTCAGCTCCAGCACACCCTCACCCTGCACAGACCTAAGGGCACACCCCTCCCCCATCCCCGTGTCCTCCCAGGGCGTGTACAGCAGCTGCCCCCTCCTCCTCACACTGCCCAGACAAGCCTCGGCTCTGTCCCATGCCTTGCCCTGCCCTTGCCCTGGCCAGGCAGCCCTTGACCCAGCCCCACTCCCTCCCTCACTGCAGGGTGTTCGATCTGCCTCCCCACCCCATGCCCCTTTCCTTCCCCCGCCCCTTCCACCACACAGACTTACCAGCCAGACACTGTTCTTCAGGCTGCCGGGCTGCGTATCGGAAATCGGATCAGTGTCAGCTAATATGCCTCCTTAAAAATTGGCTATCGCTTTCAGCCCCAAAAATCTCTATCAGTGCACTAGTTTGCACAGCTCCTTTAAACAGCTGATTTGCAGGAACTGTAGAGCTTCCTCTGCCTCTCTTTTCTGGAGTGCAATTAAGGGTCTGGAAAGTGCTGTTAAAATTGAATACATTTTAATGCATCTAGTTTGTGCACTCTGCTTTTTATTGCTCTTATAACCAACTGGCAGCACATATTAAATCTTAATCTGCATTCAAGCCTGTAGGACAGCCAGCTTATTCAGATGATGAGCATGCTGGCACCAAGTTGCCCTTGCAGAGTTTTAATAATCATACCACAAATGCTCCAATGTGTAACTCTCACACACTCATTTGAAGGGGTTCCTGCAAAACTTCTGCCCCAGGGTCTTGCTACGGGGGCTCCATATTTATATCAGACTTGTGGGTTTCAAAAAAAATGTCAAGCTCCACATCTTCTTGGCTCTTCTTTTCTCTCCTCCTGGCTTCCTGGCAGCTCTGAGACATTACCCTTTTCCTTGCCAGTCTCAACTTCTATGTCTTTTCCTCTAGAACACGGGTGTGAAATGTATGGCCTATGGGTTGTATTTGATTTGTGGGTCACTGGACCAACCACATGCACTGGTCCCTGCCCCCATGTGCTGCACAACCCAGCACTGGGCATGCCACACACAACACAGGGGGTTGGCATGGGGCACTGCATACAGCCCGTGCCCTGACCCCCTTGTGCGGCACGTAGAACCAGTTCCAGCTTGCAGACTGCTGGCAGTGTGTGCCTCATGCTGGACCTGTGCGCCACATGCACAGTGAGCCTTGGGGCTGGTCCATACTGCATATGGTGCAGGACTGGCTTTGTGCACTGCACGCTAAAGGGGACCAGCACAAGGTATGCACTGCTTGTGGGCTTGACCCTGTGCTGCAGGGAGCAAAGGGGGTTGGTTCAGGGCACCACACACAGCCCAGAGCCAAGTGTTTTGTGTGGTATCCAATCCAGCCC